GAAGACACCACAAAGGTATACTATGAAGGAACCACCAATTACACAAAGTAAACAGGTGTTTTCGACACTTCTAGGGGCTGTTTTTTCACTCACCAAGAGGGCAGCCGGGATTCTCCATTTTCTCACACAAAGTCTCACAATCATCATGTCAAAGAGGCTAGGGTTATATTCATATATATACTCTAGGGTTAGGCTTTAAGTTGGACAATTAAAGGGGTAAACGGGCCATGATTCAAGCCATCCATAAGGAATACAATTGGGCCGGGTGTAGCTCATGGACTTGGTTGTTGGACTTATTTCATTCATCGGCCTATGCCTATGAAATAATATTAATCCACGTTAACATCATAGCTCGAGATTTATTGGGTATAAAAAACCCAACATTAATCAAGTCTAACTATTTCAATCCATAAATCCTGTTTACATAGACGTCTAAAGTAAACTAATATAATTAGGTAAACAACTAAGAAATAAAATAAAATCGTAAAAAATCTATAATATATATAAATTTAATTATAATTTCTAAAATAAGTATTTAAATTAGAAAATCTTTCATATAATATTTCTATTAGGATTTCTTTCATTTCTTCATGGCCGAGAAAACCCAACTTTAAAGAATTAAACTGCAACTTCATTTTTCAAAAAGACCAATCTATTGTCTTAACCAAGTATTGATATCAAACTCTAGATAATACCGTGTAAATCATACGAAGGGGCAATCTTTCTGACCAAATATCTGTTGGGAAATAGAGTAAAGTTTGTTTTAAAAAAAAAAAAAAACCCACAAAAATTTGTCTTGGAATTTGTTAGGAAAATATAGTTAAGTTTATTTTCGATGTGGCTAAGTTTAACAATGCAGAAATGAAGTTAAACAAGTAACAAGAGGAAAGAAGAAGAAGAAAGTGATGAAATAATCCGAGACAAGTGAAAACACTCTTTCCTTAAGACAAATTTGCCCCACAACAATGCTAACGGAGTAATGACAATTATCTCCCAAGATACAATGGATTACTTCCTTATAATAGAAGCACTTCAAACTATAAAGCATCAATGAACTCACGGATTATTCTCTCTACAAGAAAATGTTTTTGAAATGATTTTTGGAAAAGTTTTGCAAGAGTTATGATATAATACTCAATGCTAATGTTATGGGAGGCATAATGGATGTCGAAAGGGTCTTATTTATAGAAGATTAGAGGTTGTGAATGAAATAATACACCCCAAACTTTGCAACCTTACGAAGGGAAGCATCCCTTGCTGTCGCTGACCTCTCGCTCTAGTGCCAGTGTCATAATTTTGACAAAACCTTTTTCCTACCTAACACTCTCCTGTTGCTCGAGTGACAGTCTCATCGCTCGAGTGCTAGGCTAGCGACAAAGTCTGGCAAATTTTTCGACCAAATTTTCCTTTCTTTTCTTTCCAATTTTGGATCGAAATTTCTCTTTCATCGAAAATTGATTTTGAGATTTCAAATATACTATGATAATCTACTTGACGAGTAGAATAAGTTACTCTATTTAAATTTATAATTCGACTACTGGATTAAGTCCGAATATTTGGTCGAAATTAACACAAAGTCCTTTTCCATATTTATACGTAACCAAAATTTTTCAGTCTTTAAACCAAATTCCAACAATATCAATAGTAAACTCTTGAAAGTAGTATAATCTTTACTCATAATCACATTGAATGACTATATATGGAGAATCATGCCATCATTCATGAGAAAGTTGTAGATTTTGAAAAGTGGGTGATTTGTGATAAACTCGATTAATTTTTTTGGAATATTGAGCATACGAAATAAAGTGACTCTGGGATTAATGTGAGATTAATATTGAGATATAAAGAGATGACATAATTTGACAAACATATATATTGTATGTGTTAGAATTTGGGTATGTAAGATGCTTATCATGGCTTAAAATGTGAGTATAAAGTTATGGATTTAATGATGTGCTATTACCCTACTGAATCATGAATTTTTAGTTCTGTTTATACTATATTTCCGAGAAATTGTAATTCACATTATTTTTTAGGTTTATCACTTATAAGTAACAATGTTTTATCACATTCAAAGAATCTAATTTGAAATATAACTATTCTAGAATGGAGTCCTCTGTTAGACAGATAGTAACTGATTGTTTAAGAGCTTGTAACATCGAAAATGTGTATGCATCCTTATTTATATTTTCTTTGAGTAAAAAAAAAGGGCCGACTACCGAACTTGGGGTTAAAATTTAAATGGTCATTCAACTTTGCATGATGTTTTTCATTTGTTTGAGCCTCATCTTTTCACAAAAATACATTTTGTAATAACGTTATGATGAAGAAAGGGTACTTAAAAAAAAAAAAAAAGTTTTGGATTCATATGTAATATTATTTTATTGAAAAATGTGTGGTTGAAATAAGATCAAATCATTGTTTAAGAATATATTTTGATAAAAAAAAGAGCTTAAACAAGGGCTAGCTATTAAGTCCCCGTTTGATCCACATTATTGTAAAAATGAGAATGAGAAATATAGTCGATATGGATTCCACACAAGAGATAAAAATTCAAATATGGTGGCTTGATTGATGGATAACGATCATATTTTTCATTTTAATGAGGAAATAATGGGATTCAAACAGGGCCTAAATTTAAAAAAAAAAAAAAAAAAAAAAATATATATATATATATTCAAATGGTCATCGAACTTATAAATTTGTTATCTCATTGTCCATTAAACTTTAATAATTTTTAGTTGATCACCAAACTTATCACACTATTATCTTATTTGTCACTCAATAACTCAACGTTAGAAAATTCGATGAACTCGCTGATGTAGCAAACAAAAACACTAACATTACACATTGCTGTTGTTAGTTGGTACATCAACCAAAAACAAACTTCTATCTATTGAAAGCGCATATAAAAAATGCGAGTGAATTTTAACTTTTTCTTGTTTTCTTTCGTTTATTTGTATTTTTTATTTAATATTAGATTTTGTTGCATTCTCGTTAATCACATTTTTTATAAGCTATTTTTGCTAATTTGTCATCAACTGATGACAATAATGTGCCATGTCAATGTATCCTTTCACCACATCAGCGCATCCCTAGAATTTTCAAACTCGATTTATTGAGTTATGATGGAATAACAGTTTGATAAGTTTGGTTCCTATTCAAAAATTTTTAAAGTTTAATAGTAAATGAGATAATAATTTGATTAGTTTGATGATTATTCAACTTTTTTTTAAAGTTTAATGATCAAAAGGATAACGATTTAATAAGTTCAATGATCATATAAAAAAAAAATTTTAAGTCGAATATCCAATGAAAAATATTCTTGAAAGTTCAATGGCCATTTAATTTTTTTTACCGCCAAACTTGAGTAGACATATTGAACAAAACAATATAAATACCATTTTATCCTTAATTCCCGTTTGGCCCTCATTTTATGGAAATCAAAATTGGTGGAATAGTCTTTTTCTGAAAAATGAGTAGTTAAAAAAGAAAAAAAAAAGTTTTTACTTAACGTGTAATATTATTTTATGAAAGATTGTGTAGTCGAAAATAAAAAAAAAAATAAAAAAAAAAAATGTAATGAAATAAAATTTAATGGAGGCCAAACAGGAGCTTAATTAGCATAATAGATAAATATAAGTTCTCTCTCGTCTGTTTATGAACAATAGCTGCATAATCTGATTTTCATAACAAAAAATGATAAATCGAAGGACATACTATATTCCCAAATAGTTTTTCTTCCAAAATTCGCAAAACTATACTCAAATGCTACCTATGTACTTCAATTTTGGCATAGATGAGGACACTTAACGTGTAATATTATTTTATGAAAGATTGTGTAGTCGAAAATAAAAAAAAAATAAAAAAATAAAATGTAATGAAATAAAATTTAATGGAGGCCAAACAGGAGCTTAATTAGCATGATAGATAAATATAAGTTCTCTCTCGTCTGTTTATGAACAATAGCTGCATAATCTGATTTTCATAACAAAAAATGATAAATCGAAGGACATACTCTATTCCCAAATAGTTTTTCTTCCAAAATTCGCAAAACTATACTCAAATGCTACCTATGTACTTCAATTTTGGCATAGATGAGGATGTTGTTAATAAATACAATGACAAACTTGTCAACGAATTCCTTAATAACGGTAAAAAAATCAATTTTTTTTACCAAAAAATCGCTCCCAAACAAGCTGTAATTCATAAGGTCCATGAAAGTTGCCGGTTCATTAATTAAACTAATGGACCATGAAGAATTCATAATGTCCACATCCAGTACTAAATGTCATTTTCTGTACATCGGAGTTTTATCTTTAGTTGAAGGTAACGTGATCGAATTCAAATTCTCTTCGCAGCTGATCAAATAAGTTAAATATTCTCAGAAGAGGATATTTGTTCTTGACGGTGACCTTGTTGAATCCTCAGTGGTCTATTAAAAACAAGGTTCTAAAAGGCATAAGACCAGAAAACGGAGGTAGACTCAAGCCTAGCGCTGTTGCGCGTGGGTAAGCTTGCACCACGATGTGACAAGAGTAGTGCCCGATGCTACTGCATGTGGGTCGTGAGAGAGTAGCGACGCCAAATACTACTGTAGTTGCCTGAATCCAAAAATCGTCACAACTGGTTCACACGAATCTATTGGATCGAGCAAAGACCGTAACATGACCGCAGTTTATATTGCAGCTGTTTGGCCTAGTATAAAAGTAAATTCTACAGGTTCATTGATAAACCTAAAGAACTTCAGAAAAATCAAAATAAAATAATAATTGAAATTAGAATACAACAAGTTCAGGAAATTCTAGAATACTAAAGACTTATCTATATTCAATTTATCACATGTTTCTCACGCTAACGAGAATCACAATCTTTCATCAGTACACATACAAATTTGACCAAGTCATCAATTCTGGGCAACTTTCGTAAATTCCAAAAGTAAGATTAATTAACCAAAGAATTAATATGCATGCGCATATACGTGTCACAAAAATATCACTATAAATATCAATAAGCAAGCCATGCTACTTTGAAAAAGATCATGGGTGTAATAACTTGTGACGCTGAGTTAACTTCCTCAGTTCCTGCAGCTAGAATGTTCGAGGCTGTTGTCCTCGACTCGGACAACCTCATACCTAAGATCATGCCTCAGACTATAGAAAGTGTCGAAATCCTCAAGGGAGATGGAGGTGTTGGAACCATAAAACTCGTTAATTTTGGCGAAGGCAGCCAGTTTAAGAGCGTGAAGCACCGTGTGGATGCTCTTGACAAAGAAAATTTCAAACATAGTCACAGCATTGTTGAAGGGGATGTTCTCATGGGAATTTTTGAATCAATCACCTATCATATCGAAATTGTAGCCACTGCTGATGGAGGATGTATTTGTAAGAACAGAAGCATTTACAACACCAAGGGTGATGTTCAAATCACTGAGGAGAAAATTAAGGCAGGCAAAGAGAGAACCGTAGCAATGTTCAAGGCTATCGAGGCCTACCTTCAGGCCAATCCAGATGCCTGAATCGAGCATACCACATTTGACAAAGTGAACTTGACGGTGGTTGAGCTTGACAGTGTGAAGAAAAGAACTCAATTATACTGTTCAATCACATTCAATATCACGAGCTTAATTATGAGTGCCAAACTTGCAGTTTACTTTTCCGAACTAAATACTGATTTCACAAAAATATTTATGGTTCTCTTTAATGTTATTTTTTTTACTAGTTTTGCTGACAAGTTGTACTTCAGTACTGTGTTCCATCATAAAAAAATATTTCTTGTATTATATAACATATTGAATCTTAAAGAATGAATTTTAACAGAGTGGTTGCATTCCTATCATTGAATAAATTCTGAATTTTTATTGCAACAATTTTTATACTGTTCAAAGTTGAAACATACTGAAAGTTATTAATATATCTTTTGATACTAATAGTCTTGTCACAACCTACTATATAAAATCTTCTTTACTATTCAATAGAAGCAAAAATCCAGGATGAATCGGATCGGTGTAAGCTCTCCCTAGATGTACAACTCTTGTGACTGACACTCACACCTCGTAATAGGAGGATCTTATCATTGGCCACATGACAGCTAGCTAAGTAATAGCAAGAAGCCACCTAAGGCCCACATTCCACGTTCCTTTATTTACTTGACCTAATCGAGGCCATCAATAAAGGAAGTCGAAGTGAGCTATGCATCCCAGCAGAAGAGACATGTAGAGTGGGAACCTTCATGAACGAGGCAAGGCATCATGATTTGCTGCAGCGTATTGTTGAAGCAGAGAGCCTTCATTCCACAAGGCAGCTTTCATACAACTGATTGATTTGAAATCTTTGTAACAGACTCATCTCAATCAAATTTTCAGTCCACTTTTTACATGTCAGACTTAGACCATAGGGTGGCTACTTTTCAGAATCATTTAATGCCACCTCAACGTAGGACAGCAAAGGTGACACTTATAAGGTTGATGCATTAGCCGTTATAAGGCCATTGTCATCTTATTAAACGATAACTACCTCTCCTCTTCTACTTTTAAAAGTTACAATTGGTGTCATTCATAGGTAATGCAAAACTTTGCTTGATAATTTTTCAAATCCAATTACTGTACACGTTTTCATGGCTTTTGACCATTATTCATTCCACACCCAATTACGCTTATATAGTTGAATAACTTAATCATCAGAATGCCTACAGCCACTTCCTTCGCCGTCGGAGAAGGCCACATGCACCTAACGTTTGTCCAAGTGTGCAAGGACTTAACATGTAAACAAAAGTTGAGCCGAAATCTGTTGATCACGCTGCCCAGCCCAAAAAAGGTCAACAGACACCTTTCCTACGTTAAGAGAGAGCAAGAAAGAAATCAAAAAACTTAAGTACATATATTCAGTGCCTCCACCAATTGCTAGAGAAAACACACGTGATATAATAAAGGCCCTTAGAGAAACCAATGAGAAGTCAAGGTAGCCTCAAAGCCGACCCACTGAACCTAATAATTGTAATGCATCGAGATGGAGTGTCCTAATTGACTTACATCCATGAGGGAACTAGTAGTCGCTGCGGAGGAGGGATATTACTTTTGAATATATAGTGTATTTTTTTATTCATTTTTTTTCCGCGGACCAATTCTATGATATATTTAAGCTTGATAAGATAATTATTTACTATCAATTGAGTTTGATTGTACTCAATTTTCACTTGGAAACTAATGCAACATTCTTAAGCTCTCTTCATTATAAGCAAGGAAAAACTGCTAAACTTTGATGGCACGTTTATATGATCAAGTGGATGTAACTGTATTAAGAAAAAAAATCCATGATCCTATCAATTATACTATCTAGACCTATCCAATATTACATTGTGCTTGCCAAAACTATTGCTAAACTCTTGAAAAAGATTTCAAAAATCTACTCTGAGGCATAACTTAATCAATGATATCAAATAGGAGCTGTGTGTCACGGACAAGAAAGTGACATGAGGTTTGGCATGACGCGGGAATGTCATTGCATTAAGTGGAAACATGAGGTACACCTATGAAAAATTAGTTTTAAGCTTCGGTGGTACATGACAATGAGGGCGTCGTCAAATTTGGTAGGGGAGTGACTTACGTCCCCACAAAGTCCTGGGTGATACGTCCAAGTTGCGACCGGGAAAATCGAGTAGCGTAGACAATGGTCTAAGACTGGACATAAGTACATACGGTAAAGGACGCAAGTAGGGAAAACGCAGGTACAACGGTAGGGGATGCAAGCTGGACTGGCACTGCGATAGGGGAAAAAGCAGCAACACAGGCAAATTATGCAGACAGAATGCGGGCAACAAACGCTATCAGGCTATGTAGACAGTAACGCAAGCTGGAAAAGTCAGCACGGGTTGCAGGGACGAAAGTAAGATTTTTCCAAGGTAAAACCACTATCGTGAGAGGGGAGCAATATGTAAACTGCGACTAGTGGTTTTGAATGCCAAGTGAGTGCCAACTTGTGCAAATTGCATGAGGAAATCAAATCCATGTTGACTACTACAAGCTTGCTTAAAGAAGCAAAGTCCAACTTGACCACCATGATGAAGACATGTCCACTCGCACGTGAGTTGTAGAGATCGTCTACTTGCATGGAAAGAGACATGCCAACTAACATCGAGTTGGAAAGGAATAAGACACATTGCAACATGACAACTTGCAAGTGTAAAAATATGCAACTTGCAAAGTAGCAAATTCCAACTTGGCTACCTTGTTGTCTAAGGAAGTGAATGGCAACTTGTAACCAATGAAGATCCTTGGATCAAAATTAATCTTAAACATTGATGCCAACTTGTATATCATGAGTTTGCCTATAAATAGAGGTGTATGGTCATTTGTAAATCCCATTAAGGAAAGGAGAGAGTAATAGAGAGTCGAGAGAAAATTCCTAAGGATGGAATGGAAGTGAAGTAAGGTTGAGTGATATTTTTGTAGAGAGAAAATACTTGAAGGTTTGTACATATATTTCTCTTACATTTATATAAAGAAGATCTCCCAAATATATGCGTGTGCCCTTTTTCTCAAAATTTCCTATCTATCATATCTACCAAAGTTAACATATAATTCAACCTCATTAGTTAAATTACCGTGAGGGTTGAAAACTGACTTAATACTATCCCGTAGATACGGGAGTTGTGGAACATTAAGGTCGCACAATTCTAGAGTAGTTCGGGAGTGACGAAACTACGCTTGTGACACACAGCTATATTTTATCTTGTGACATCTTTGCACATTTGCAGCACTGCCATAGGAAGTAATGAAGTGAATATGTCGAATGAGAAATGAGTTACTTTTATTTTGACATTGGCTCCACTCCTACTCTCAATATAAGTAACTTGTATAAGATAAAGTAACTTACAGGTACAACCAAATATGTCAAGTTTTTCGCATTTGTGTTAGCAACTATGAGTGCAGAAGTAGTAATCTAATTTTACAGAATTTTTTTCACATTTTCTCTCAACAAAAACGACCTTGAGAAATTAATAGGTTCACTAATCCCGATGTCATATCTAAAGACATAAATCGGTCTGCTGTCACAATTAAGAATGTAAAACGGAACATGACAGACGACCCATGCTGAGCTTGATACAAGCTAGCAATTTTGCACTCCAAGCATGATCTCGATAAAAATCAAATTAGTAATTAAACTCCATCCTAAGTTTCATGGCTAATGATTGGAATGTTATATTTAACATCATTTGAATCTAAAATTAATTTTATTAAATGAAGGTAAAAAAATGACTAATGATGAAAGTAAATTGAAGTTTAATGATTTGATAGAAACAAATTAAAGACGAGCGATCCAATTGAGATTTTCATGAAAGTTCAGTGACCAAAAATGAATTAACCTTGTATAAAACTACCGTGGCAAATTTTTCCAAATAGCCCTCGTGTATGACAAAGTAAAAAGTGCCCACTAATAAATTTGTCCGTTCAAAATACTCGTTATATATCAAATGTCTAATTTTACTTTAGTAATGATCTTCACCTTCCCCACCAGCCCCCATTCATCCCTATGTCCCAGCCCTTTCCATTCTGCACCTTCCACTCTTCCCATCCTGCACTAACAGGGGAATTTCCAGCAATTTACCAACTAACTGCTCGATAAACTCCCTAGCTCCTGAGTAGCAAGTAGGCTGGGGTAGTGGGGAGCACGCCAAATGAAAAACAATAGGGTGGGAAAGGCAGATTTGAGACGTAGGGTTTAGAGTATGGAGTTGAGGAACAAGACAAACAAGTAGTGTTTTTGGAACAGATGACTTTGATATCAAGATGACGCCAAACAGGCACATGAAATGTCAAAATGGAACTCCACTGTAATCAAACCATTCTGAGACTCCATTTATTTGCATCCCCTCTCAAGGAAGAAAAAAAAAACAGTAGATTAATTCGGTTTACAGCAAGAGAGCACTCGCATGCAAACACATATATTGCAATACAATATTGAACTGTCAAACTGATACAAGTCACACTCACTGTGTGATTCCAGTTCCAGTATTCTCTGGACTAGGAGAGAAGTACTATAAATTTTGCACCCTTATTTCAGACAATGAGTTATACTACAGATATAGCAACAATGAATGACACATTACCACAACAATGGGCATAATGCTTATCGTTTTGCTCCTTCATTGCAATCACAAATGATGCTAATTTCATTTGCAATCAACATCGATATCAACCATATAAAAAAGGCTGTAACAAGAAGCGAAGCTTACTCGAGTAACAATTTAAGTAGATGAGCTTGTCACCATCACTGGAGTGAAAACATACGTTTCGCAGCTGTGAGAATCAACTTGAGCAGTGAATGAGGATGCAGAATTCAGAGAAACAAATTCGTGCTGCAACCAACAAGAACACAAAGGATTAAAGAAACCATCATATGTTCAGATTCAAACAGGAAGAGAGAGAGAGAGTGAGAGAGAATGAAACTAGAAGAGAACAACGAGACATAAGGGTGAAATTCCCCTCATGTTCAAAATCATTTCAGTGGCAGCAAAAAGAAATTCAGTAAGAATTACTTTCCTCAGCACAAAATTTCAGCAGCAGTAACAATAAAAGGGTAAAGAGAAAATCAGAAACATTTAACTCTCATAGCCGCCAAGATCACTGCAGTCAAGTCAATTTATAATACTTAACAACCATAGTTATTCAACATGCGGCAACAAAGAAGTTTCAGAATTTCTGAAAAAACATCAAAGTACCAAGAGAGAGAGAATAAAAGAAGAAGAAACTGAGAACTAAAAAAAAAGAAGCAAAACTAAAATCAATCAAGGGCCTAAAGCAGTTCAACTATGGAAGTGCCACAAAGTCGGGAAACCCTTATGGTGTTTGGGTCTAAATCATTTATGACTGTTGATGACAATTTACTCTAGAGGTAATTGCATGTATATAGTCGACAGAAGAAGCAAATATAATTCAACGTGCCTCACATTTGAATATGAAACACTTCACCTACGGGATTAAATAGAACAGCAATACTCACCTTCCACAAATCTCTTACAGAGACATGGGTAGAAGATTCAAGTCCAAGTGCAGCCCAATTAACAGTAATAGTGGCATTTTTTGAACTCCGGTTCCACAGAGAAACAACAAGACGACTTCCAGACAATGGACCCGGCCAAACCTTAAAACAAAATTAATTGTCATGTCATATAACAGAGTCAATGTCAAGGAACGCAACCTAACTCAAACTTTACATCCGATGTTAAAATGCCAGTCCTGTTACATATATTCAATTTTTTTCTATCACAGAACTATATAAATTATTATCTCAAAGCATTCAATTTAATTCGAAGAAACATTTCAAAGTAAAGTGATGAAAGAAAGGAAAAATACAAATGAAATAAAGAAGGCTTTGGCCTTCTACTGCTTATTGCCCTCTGCAGAGAACTATAAGCTAAACTTAGCCTATGTTTGGCTCATCTCTGTAAAGTGTTAATAAACACTCCAGCCACTTGTTATCCATGCATTTCGAAGGATCCACAAGTACTAACCACTTTCCACCACTCATTTATATCAATGTATAATTATGGAATTTTCACTGCTTAAATAAACAAGGAGAAGAGGGAGGGTTTAAAAGGTGGAAGAGGCTACACCTGATAGCAACCATCAGGCCCGTATGCATAAACTTTTCTTCCTTGAACCCCAAGTGGATCTGCAAGCAGAAACAAGATTTACTTGCTTTAACGGCTTAAAAATTAAAATGATCTATTTAATTTATCTAAATGAAAATACAAGTGCAAAGTCTGAATGAGGACTGGTTTGATCCACCCTATTGATTCGACTCACACAAATTAAGTATCTTCTAAATAAATGTAAGAATCATATGCAGACTGTGTTTGATTCCCATTTTTCTCTCTTTTTCAACCACGCATTCTTCAATAAAATAATACTACACGTAAATTCAAAAATTTTCTTTATTTTTTAACCACACATTCTCCATCAATCTACCTTTGCAAAATGCATTTTTCCAATGTAATGGGGCTCAAACAAGTCCATAATCTACCAATGTCCATTCACGTTTCATTATATTATATTTTCTTTGTAAAAAATTCTGTCCACGCACAAAAAGAAGTATTTACCTTGGTTTACAGCAATAATTTCCTCGTTGCTTATAATTTCAAATGTCTCAGAAGTCATGTTTCTTACGTCACAACCAATCAAAAGAGGAGCCTGCACATTCAAGAAAACCACAATTAGTTCGTGTGGAGGATTGAAATAGCTGATGTTCTTTTATGTTAATTACCAGAATACCACATTACTGGACAATAGTTTCAATGAAATATCCATGCATTTAAGCTGGATGACAAGTTATTTGAAGGAGAAACCCAAGAAAGGGATGTATTGTATTACATTGGAAAAGTGTTTTATCTTGGGACACAAATGTCCATTTCCCTACTAACACCAGTGCAGGGAGCGAATTCTCTCTTCATGAGATTTGTTGCATGCACACCTTCTTTCCATTCAATAATTTTTAGTAGCACATTAAGCTTTTTTTTTTTATATTTCAGTATTCTGGTTATTTTCCTACTAAAAAAAGACAATGTGCTAGCCCCAACTATAGGAGAGACCGTGAATAAGATATTGAAGCCGCCAACAGGAAAAAGACGATACAGAAAGCTTAAAAGTGACCAACAATTCTCAACCGTGATGGCCTCATACAAGCAAATGCTAAACAATATTGTGGCATTGCTTGGTTCTTAAAACTAGCAATTAAGCCCCTGTTTGATGGGCACTATTTAAGAAAAACATGATTTGAATAGTGATTTTTTGAAGAATGCGCAGTTAAAAAGTAGAGAAAACTTTTGGATTTATGTGCAAAATATTTTATTGTTTAACGTGAGGTTGAAAATGGGTATGTAGAAAAAATGGTTTTCAAATAATGGTTGTCAAACATGGGCTAAGTCAAAACTAATTAATTAAAATGAACCTTCATCAAAGCCCAAATGCTAAAATGTGCTCGGTACTCCTGGTAAGTCATCCCCCCATTTCCAACTTCTAACATATCAGGATCTGCCAAAAATTGTCAAGGCAATATCAGGAAAAGTTAAAATCAGAATTTCAAAAGAGAGTTCGGGAGATGCAAATGCACTCAACTATAGAACATAGATCATATTTGTACCATTCCATCCACCAGGCCCCGCATAGTCTGCCCACTTGTCATTGAGATCAGCAATTGTAGTCATGCTAAACCAAAAACACAACAGAAGTATCAGAGCAGGCATTTGATAGATAAAATGTCACGGTAAATAACTTTAAGGCCCCGTTTGGTAGCCATTTTCTTCAAAATGCATTTTTCTTTCTCTTCTTTTCAACCACACATTATTTATTAAAATAATATTACATGTAAATCAAAAAAAAAAAAATTGTTTTTCAACCACACATTTCACATCAATTTACTATTCTAAAATGCATTTTTACATAAAAATACCTATCAAACACCCCCTAAATAAGCAAAACACAATGAAATACTCTCTCAAATCTTTTAACCTTAATCCCATTAATCTGAAACTTATTAATTTTCCGATGTTCAATGGGGGGACCAAATAACTTCTGCATTACCATGGATGTTTGGATCAAAATCTTTGATTGATAAATGGGAAAAGAAATAGTTTTGTAAAGACCGACAGACATCTCCAAATAGTTTTTGATGTGCAAAGCTAAAATGCACACCAAAAAATTTAGACGCGGGAATTCAGAACCTTTCCCAATTATCTTTGATGTCATTTGTTGTTCGCCAACTGTTTCCAATCTTGCCTGCCCATAAGGCAGGGTCATTAACGCCCCTGCAAGGTTTAGAGAAAACCACTCTTAGAGTGCAAGTGAAGATTTCAGATCTCAAAAGGGAAGATAAACATTAGAAAAATGGAGTCCTCAAATGATAGAAATTACCATTCACAAAGTGAATAGAATATGGTCCTTCCAGTTGCATTTAGAGCATCACGCATTTTTGTGTACCTAAGCAATGTGAAACCAAAGTGAGATGAAGATACACATTCCGAGTTATAAAATAAAACAAGATGCCAACCTTTCTTTAGGTTCGATGCCCAAATTGAAACAGTTGTCATACTTTAGGTAATCAATGCCCTAAATAACATCAGAGAGAGAACATTTTAAGAGACACTGCAGAAGATAGGCCTTTAACAAAGAACACAAATAACAAAGACGGGAAACATGAAATTCTATGCATCATCAACTGCCAAGAAACTTAACAACCCAATTGTAGTTATTAAAGATAATTTGTCTAAAGCTTAAATATTTTTCCTTAAAGGTTTCAATATGAAATGAAAATGAATCTGGAACTCAACTTTATTTTATTTTTCCTTGGAGAGTGGGAGGGAGGACTAACACGAGGTTAAATAGAAGGCAACGATATCTAAAGCCCCTCTAACCTAAAACAATTAATTAAGAAGAAATGGAATGATGAAATTCATTTTCAGCACTAATGAGAGAAAATCGGATTTCCAAAAGAAGAAACAATAACTAACCCATGATGCAAAACGTGCTGCATCATCGTATTCATGTCCAAGTGATCCAGGATGAACTTCACATGTAAAAGCCCTGTAGAATTTCAAATAATTGGTAGAGGGAAAAATGGATATAATGGCAGCAATATGTTTCACTTAATTGGGACAACATTGATTAACAGTGCTATTGTTACTGAGAACAGATATTAGGAAATTATGTTTTACTTAATTAGGACAACATTGATTAACAGTGCTATTGTTACTGAGTACAGATATTAGGAAATTCCTTTTACCCTGCATCAGAGTAGATACCAAGCTTGAGGCCCTTTGAATGCACATAATCAGCAAGAGCTTTAATTCCTGATGGAAATTCTCTAGAATCAGGAACTAATTGACCCTGCACAAGCAGTGAAGCCATTTAATGAATAAGAAAAATGAGAAACTTCATAACTGTATCATTTCTGTTCATCATAAGCTAATTTTTTTTTTTTTTTTTTTTTTTAAATGCTTAAATAAACCGGGACAACAACAATTGAAATAAAATTTCTACTTCCTAAAATGGAAAAAAATACCAATCCCTTTGCAGAACACAGAATTTAACGTTAGCATGGTTCATGGATACTTAACGCACAAAAAGCATTACAGTTAAAAGACAGTTTATAAACTGTCTGTAAATGTTGAAGACAAGATTTAATCATATAGATGTGCTCTTCTCTAATAGCTTAAACTTTCAATCAAGTGGTACAATATGGTAGGCAAAGGTCATGTGCTCAAGTCTCACCGTTACCCATTTTGTGAGCTCGTGAACATGTCACACTTCTATGAAAAAACCTCCGCCTTCATGTGAAGGGACGTGACAAAATTTAAGTGATATGCAAGTGGTTCTCTCTAACATCTTAAACTTTTATATCAAGTGGTTCGACAACAAATTTACCTCAGAATCCCGCACTAATTCAGACCAGCAATCGTCTGCATTTCATGACAGAATACATAAGAAAAGGCAAGTAACAAACTGGAAACACATCCGCGGACATCACAGTTGGTTACCTATGTTCACATATTCATAGCCTAACTTGGCCAAACCAGTTAAAATGAGTGCATCGGCTGTCAAAGAGGAAAACAAATGTTACTAGTTTTTAATAACTTCAATAGAGCAAACTGAAAAATGAAAAAGAATTGACTACTGCAAGCAGAAAGAAAATAATGAATTTTTTTTTCCTCTTCAATGATTTTGCAATCAAAAGTGACCACATTCAGGTGCATGTCTATTGCAATAATCGAGAGGACAGAAAGTTTCAGAATCTACCCAAAGAAATAAAACTGAAAAAGCTTAGTGCAACTAGAATAACCAATAAAGGATAAAAATGTAAATTTTGGGCACTGGCTGTTGCTTCTTAGGATCACGGTTCAAGGGACAAACTCCTGCAAACTTTTAAATAACATACGTCTATAAACTAAAAATTGAAGTAGCCTTATCTCCAGCCCCATCTTATGCCCAGAATTGTCCTGCTCGTATTGAGAAAACAGAAAGTGGCATCGTTTTCAAGACCTAGTGCCATTCAAAATCTCAAGATCAAAGTGGGCAAATTAACAACAAAATTTTTGGGTCATCTACGACAACCATTCCAGTTGTTTAAACTCTGGAACTTCATCATCTTCTTTTCAGCTCTGGCATGAACAGAAAAAATATTTCTATGTGAGCTAGTATTGTTGGAGATTTAACGATTGAGGTCCACCTCATGTCTTAGTCTGAGTAATGGGAGCTAAAAAATAGTACATCCCGTAACACGCTGATAATTCAAGGCAGATGCCTCGTTATTATGCCTTAAAAGTTACAACAAATTTTATACTGCAATTCCTGAAATCAGACGAGCAGGCTTCTTAAATGGAATTGAAAGTGCCATTCTTTCTATAAGTAGAAAGAAGAAAACAATAGTAGTTAGCTTGATGAAAGCCTAAGATGCAGAATACCAAATTATGCAGGCACGTAATTTCTACCCCTTGATCCAAATATGCACTAAATACAGATAGATATGCTCACCAGATGAAAATCCTGAATTTAGTAAATTCTTAATTTCTCAAACAATAAATATGTAAAACCAATTGCAAATAACAGTCACCTATGAATCATGTTTACAACAAAAGAACCCAATAAATACTAAGAGACTATATTAAACTTGTGTTTTAAATTTTTCATCTTCTTCAACACATTAATTCTCTTGAAGCTAAAAACATTAAACTATGAACATCATTGTGAAGCAATCAATTATCCTATTGTCAAGAGAGATTAATCGCACAGATAAGCGGTTACCTGTTTCCTTGATAACTTTTTCATTGATATTACAGGCAAAGAAATTCCAGCTATTCCATCTGGCCACAACCCACAAGAAAATCGAATCAACCCATCAATCCAAAAATCAGAAATCCTATCATGTAAGAATTAACTAGAAACCAGATGATTAAAAGTGATCAAGAATGTATTACATGTCCAAATACGTAGCTCCAAACTTTAATGGGAAGAAATATGCATCAATTATTTTCTTTTAAAACCAAAAAGAAATATTATTTACCAACATCAGAACAGAAATGAAAAAATCTCCTATATCAAGAACTCGAATCATGCAGAAACCCAACTTTTGCTTTTACTCCGTAAACAAATAGAATTATCAGATCCTTAATTTAAGAATTTCATCCTGCAAGACTTGACCATCGGTACTCACATTTTAGACCGACGATTATTTAAAAATTCAGCAAAATTATTAAGAAAACAAATAAAGAAGAAGAAAATGTAAAATTATGCTACCCCATCTGAGGCGTCTTGGCCAATCCATTCTCGAGCTGTAAAATACCATAACTGGAAGTATCAAAAATATTGGTTATGGGCTTTTCTTGGCCACTCAAATGATGATGCACAGACGACACTCTTGCTGTGACTGCCACCGACATGACATATACGTATAGAATTGCTATCCGTATGCATGCCGTGGCAAAATCAGAAGTAACCTTAGCCATTAATGTGAGTCAATGATCTTTCTTTTCTACTTTTTCTCTCTGGGGGGTTTTTGGAGAGACTTGGGAGAATAGTTGTCAAAGATTCAAGACGGTAAAAAGTACATCGGACTGGACCCCAAATTTTAACAATCTTTTAACTCAGAAAGAAGTATTTTTATTGGATCTTTTTTTGAACGATTGTACTACACATTCAGGTTGAAATCTAGACTCAAATTCAGATGAATTGATAATTTGAAAAATTAAAACGAAAATACTCAATCATTTTGTGACTCATCAATCTGTCTCTTTCCCCCCTGTTTTTAAATCTGAATAAGTGGCTTTATTCTATTTTGATCATTGATTCGACGTAAGGTGCTCTAGATGTTGGAACAAGAAGCCCTCCTCATTTACAATTTAAGGAACAAGAAGCCCTCCTCATTTACAATTTAACTTTTATCCAAAGTGATTGTTATAAGTAGAGTAAGAGATGGCACTCTCGTTGTGAACGGAATGATGATTTGAAACATATTACTTTTAGTAAAGGGCTGATTTTCGTTATTGTCTTTTTTTTTTTTTTTTTTTTTTTTTTTTTTTTTTTGATATCCAGGTATCCCAGTTTACACTAGACTAAATCCTGAACCCCCAAAACCCTTGTCCCTAGAACTTTGGAGGGGATAAATCGCGGGTTATGTCTCAACTGAATCACAGGTTCCCCCACCGCCTATACACTTCTGCGCACAAGAGATTTTCTTCCAAAGTGATTTCTCCATACCAAATAAATCTGGCCGCAGGTTCCCACTAGGATTCGAACCTCCACCCTGTCGCTGGAAGCAAGATAATATTGATTGATCCACCAGTTGAGCTGTGCCCCGAGGGGCATGTCACATCTTGTTCTTTCAAGCATTTGATAGAGTCATAGAGACATTATTTAGGTGGAAAAAATAGATGAGAAAAAAATTTCATGTTCATTTTTCTTAGTCATTTTGATCTAATAAGTCGTATAGACATGAAAAAGCAAATAAAAAAAATAGCTTAATTCGTAAGAAAAGACAACACGTAAAAAGAAAATGAGCGATATTTAAATTTTCTAATGATTTAATGAAAATGAAGTTAACCTTATCTATCATAACATATAGCTTTGACATTTGTACTTCTACCAATGGTTTGTTTGACTTGCTTCAAATTTATAATAAATTCTACAAATTATTAATTATTTATTGATCTCAAATATAAATGAGTGTCAATATCGAGTTTGCAAACAAGCAAGAAAGTTCACATGTGGAGTGAATCCAATTCTACTTGAAATTTAAACCAAACATATGAGTTGGATCATATGGTTAAGCATATATGGGAATCAAGCTATAGCGTTTACTCTCGATAATTTTATCGAATCATATAACTCTAAATATTCGTAGTTTTTTAAATAAAAGAACACTAGCTTGTAAAAAGTATATAATTTATGATGATGAGCTACGTGTGCTAATTGCTTGTTTGGAAAATCAAAGCCAACTCCACAAACTAATAATAGAAGGACATGTTCAGATTCAAGAGAAATAAAAAAATTGGACCAAAAGATTTTTCAAGATTCAAATAAAACCCAGTGGCAAAATATTCTAATCCATGTTCTTGAAAATAATTGATTATGAGTAATTAATTATGTAAACACTTTAACCCAATTGTCATATAGTTCCAAAACAATGCATCGCTGGTACAACCTGTGCACTCAAGTGGCAAAATCATGCAACATTAAAAATAAATATTGAGACACTCGTTCAATTATTTTGTATTGCCCATAGATCCGATATCTTTTAATTATATATAGTCAAAAGGGTTTTCAATTTCGCTCATCCAACTAATAATTGAGACTTTGACAATTTGTAATATGATGGCTTTTATGAAATCAAAGAATCTACATAGTATTTCAACATTGAACACGTTACATTTTTTATAGAATCGACGTGATGTTTTATAGATCAAAATATCAATTTTTCTACTATAGACAGTTTTGAATAATCATTGTTGTGCCACGTCGAATCCAAGTAAAATCCAAGACAAGCATATCTACAAGAAGCTGGAAGCCTCATTCAATCATTTTAAAAAAATTATCATACTGGTTGTTTTCATTAATATTTAATTCTTATAAATGCATTAGAAGACTGGTCCGTTCAGGATGTCTGAGTCATTTGAGCATGATTAATTTAAATAAGAAAAGGAATAATTAGAATTTATTTTATTTTATTTATTTATTTTTATAAGTGGACGGCATCAAAAACTTGAATATAAATTATACTCTGATCAAGAACAAAAAAATATGCCATTATATTTCCATCCTAGATGACAAAGTATCCATTGCTGCAAGCTATTAAAAATGAAAATTTTTACATAGAAAATTGGTCGATAATATTTCTAGTCGATGAAGTTTAAAGACATAAATTTTCTCCCCTGGAAATGTCTAATGGTACCACTCACAAAGGGTATAGAAATAAAATGTTTTCGTTAGAGAATTTCCAACAAAATTTTCGACTTTCCCGGAAGTAAGATAAAAAAATAAAAAAAATGTTCTGTCACAAATTTGTCAATAAATCGTAAGGTAACAGGCTTGTATTCATTTTTTTGTAATGATTTTAAAGCTTAAGAAAACAAAACATTTATTCATTTATATATTTGTAGTTCACAAGATTCACGAGTCCTATGTCAATTATTTTAATATTCTATATTCAATAAATAATTACAAATGCCTAGTAGGATCCTAATAATCTTGGACAAGAATGTAGAAAGAGGCTGGAATCTTGATTCTCTCTAATAATTAAGAAAAGAAAAATTAAATAAAAAAGGAATATCATGTATTACGTCACATTGTTTTTCATTATTATTTAATTTATTAATAATTAATTAAAAAATTTATTCCATTTTGTTTATATTCCCTATATTTATAGGTGAAAATTAGAACTTCTGGTAATTAGGTATGGAGAAATACAATGGTCATTTAATAATTAATATTTAATTTATAGCATTTTTTTTTTTAGACATTGGTTAGTTATTTTAAGCATGAATACTGTTTTTATTATAAAATAACAATTGAATCTTGATGAATTAATACATTATGGTCAAGAAAAATATATGAATTGATCTATAATTAATTAATTTAATAAAGATGTCTCTTATTTTGAAAAGAATTGTATTTAATATACTTTAATTTGTAATCAAGCACATTAAATACTTTGTTTTATGAAATCAACTATATTTTTAATTTCCTTAAACAAATAAAAGTCATGAATTTACTTTCTATGGAGGAATTATCTCAGTGCATTAGATCATCTACACAATTAAAAATTTCAACATAAAAATATGTTTTTAACTAGTATTATAAACACCAAAAGTCACCGTATGATTGCTTTATAAAATCAAATGATAGCTTGTAAGAACTAACTGAATAATATAATAAACTATTTTAAATACTTTACTTTCATAGTACTATCAAATTTTGATAGATTTTATGCAATATCTCCATCCCTCGAGGAGCGTTAAGATTTTTTATCTTTTTAAAATGGCTAGTTAACCGCCCGGAACATAAGCGGACGTCCGGATCCCATGTCCGGATTGGCAGATTTTTTGACCGTTTGATGGCTATAAATACTCAACTTTTCACCACAATCATAATAAGAATTCTAGAGCTTTAAAGTACAGCACTTATTAATCTTTTCTACCTTGCATTCAATTCTTTTAAGATCAAATCATTTAACTTTTGAAGAACTTTTTGAGTGATCAAATATTGTGAAATTCATATATCTCAAAGAGGTTTTCCCTTTCACAACTCTTGAGCTATATGTCTTGTGAATTATTGAAGTGTTGTATCTACTTTTCTCTCTTGATTATTGTTCACGAAATAATTCTTTCGATTTAAAACTACCGCAAGTGTACGGTTTGTAACAAGTAATAAAGTTGATTTTTAAAAGACCGAATATCGTCCCTCAGAGATTGAGTAGTTCAATTCTATATAATCTGATTGAGTAGTTCAATTCTATATAATCTAGCCTTAACCGAATCTAATTGAGTGATAATATGGTCTAAATGCAAAAATTCCTAATTTCAATTAAAAACCCTAATTTCAACTAAAATCCCTAATTTCTATTGAAACCCCTAATTTCTCAATTAGAAACCCTAATTTCGAAATTTCTCTAATTAAACGACTCAAACACTCAAATAAATGAAATTATGCAAATTCAAAAGTTAATTTAGGGAAATGAATCAAACTAAAGTCACTAGGATCACGAATTCCCAATTGAAGTTATAAAAACCCTAATTTCATAAAATTAATAACCCGATGAAAATTTGACAATTCAATGTTCCTAATTCTATCCAATATATTCTTTCGATATATATTAGACCTATTCTTGCACACCACCAGCCTATATCTCTATGGATGATGCAAACATACAAGAATGCATGTGGTTTTGTGAACAATTTAAGAATTGCATAAAGTATAGGGATATATCTCTATCCCCTATCGGACCCTATGTTAATTTACACCTTATCGAACTTATTCCACTTATCTCGAATGTAAGAAATAAGTCATCAACGCTCACACAATCATTGGCCACTAATTGCGGAAGAAAATTAATGCATGTAAACCAATCAAATTATCCAAACGAGTCTTTATATTAAATTCATGAAATATGGAATTAAAATAACAAACAACGGTTCATCGATCACCTAGTAATTGAAAACTTAGCTAGAATATTCATAATTACAGAAAAAAACGAAATAAATAAATAGAAAGAATAGCACCCGTATGAAAATTCCTTGAATTCTTGAATAAAACCTTGAAAACCCGCTTGAATCATTGTGAAATCGGCTTCAAGTTCGTGTTTCTTGCCTCCAAAAGTTATATTTTTCTTCTCCCTGGACATTCTGCCCTATTTCTTATGAATTTTGGCTTTTATACCATGTCTTCACGAAGCCCCGACGGAGTTTTAATTAAAAACGGAAGTTCTGAATTTTCGTCGAACTTTTAAGCCATGCGGCTACATGGTGTTAACCCATGCGACCGCATGGTTCAAGTGATGTGCCCCAATAAAATCCCTGCTAGATCATGTGCGGCCGC